TTGGCCTGTCACACAGGGGCTACCGCTTGCTCTGCATGAGCTTGCTGAAGGAACTGTCTCAACAGACCCCTAATAGCAACACCCTGTTAAAGTAGGTATCCAGAGGATACATAGGTGGAGTGGTGCCCAAGGTGGAACCGGGGCTTAACCAGCTCAAGAAAGGGCACGAAGCTGCCGCGTGAAGCCCTCACCATACAGGATTTTAGAAAGAACGCAACGTACTAGCGTGCAAACTTACCACAGTGTGGATTTTAGAAAGTGTACAAAGACTTCACGTGCACACTTACCATAAGATGGATTTTAAAGATACCATCCTAAGGGGCTCTCGTGGCACTCTGAAAGAGCAGCCCATAGATGGAAATGGTACATCACCAAAACAAACTGTTCGAGAAGCCATCAGCTCGATCTATGGTAAAATGCTGGAATGGCTAGCAGTAAGTTACCTAGCTGAGGGAGAAACACACCTAGCTCTCAGTCGAGAGGGGGCTCGACCTACAGCATGTTCGTTAGAAATCAGAAGGGTAAGCGTACTGCAAGCTTAGCCAAAAACTCAGCGCACCAGGGAGGCAGAGGAAGGGCCTAGTTCGCCTAATGTTGCCGGTTCCAGGTGCTATGGGAAAAACAGATAACTCAACTCTCACGTGAGAGGAGAACTCTGAATTCAGAAAGGAGTAGCGTGCTCATAGGCAACTCTTTGATAAAGGGGAGCACTGCTAAACGCTACCATGAGAACAGCCCACGGAGCGAGGAATCCAACTCCTCAGAAGGGAGAGAATTCAAACGCTCGAAAGAAAGCACCACGCTCACAATAACCCTCAATGGTGAGGGGAGTGATGCTTCAAAAGTGTGTCAACAGAGATACACTGGTTGAGTGGAGCCCAAGGCGAGTACCGGGGTCTAAGCCAACTCAGAGAAAGGGAACGGGGCTAATAACCCGTAACCCTTACCATACAGGATTTCAGAAAGTGCGCAGAGTCTTGGCGTGCACACTTACCACTATGTGGATTTTAGAAAGTGCGCAAAGTGCTCAGCGTGCACACTTACTACCATGTGGATTTCAGAAAGTGCACAAAGCTTTGCGTGTGCACTTACCATAGCATGGATTAAAGAGCTTCCCAAGCATCTGCTTCACAGATGCCCGGAAGTACCGAGCCTAACGGGAGTGGCAAGCTCAGGAGCACTGCCTGAGACCGCATTTCACAAGAAGGTTCTCGCAAATGCCACCTACACTTCCCACTCGATGCCTCAGCAAGAGGGGATATCCTGGTGACCAGGAAGCCCCTCAGGGTGACCTAGATACGGCGTACCAGACAGGGCAGCCTGAAAGCAAAGTCGAGCACCCGGTTGCTGAACCCAGCAGAGGGGGTGCTCACCGAGGACCTACCCTAGAAAAGGACAGAAACACACAGGTCCCGGAAAACACTGCAAAGAAAGCTCGCAGATGGAATACACACAACCACCAGTGTATTAAATATATATTTTTATAAAAATGGATCGTACTCCCCCACCATGGTTCCCGCGCAGGAGCCCCGTTCAAGAAGCGACCCGACGACCTCTTGTCCGAACCATCAGTAAGGTGGTTACTATGAAGCCATAGAACCAACCTAAACATTATAGGTCCAGCATAGGAGACTGTAATGCAGGAAGTTCCTACCTAACCTCGGTCAGGTGGAGAGATGGTGGTTACAGGGGAATTAGGAAGGGAAAGATAAGGGCAGATGTTAACCCCCCGAGGGAAATGAGTAGATACTCAAGTATCACTCTGATCCGGACGAAAGCGCTGACGCCTTGTCTGGATCACATCCCTTAGGTCTGTAATGCAGGAAGTTCCTACCTAACCTCGGTCAGGTGGAGAGATGGTGGTTACAGGGGAATTAGGAAGGGGAAGATAAGGGTAGATCTTAAACCCCCCGAGGGAAATGAGTAGATACGCAAGTATCACTCTGATCCGGATGAAAGCGCTGACGCCTCGTCTGGATCACATCCCTTAGGTCTTGCCTACCTCCCTTTGACCCGCGATTCCTCCTACCCCTACCCGCAGGCGGGGGAGAAGCGCGAGCCGCGACACTAGCCTTCTGTGCCCGTCTCTCATCCTCAGACTGAGACAGGCCAGGACCCCTGGGTTGTTCGGGCTCAGACCTGGACCTTCGTGGAATGAAGGATTTGAAGGCCGCTGAGTGCGCCTTCGCCTCCCTGAACTTCTCAACCACCGTCTCGACGAAGGTACCGAAAAGTTCGGAAGGCGAAACTGGAGCATCGAGAAGAAAGCCCCTCTCTTTCTTCCTGATATCTGCCAGGTTCACCCACAGATGTCTCTCCGTTACCACCATAACCGCCATGGACCTGCCCATAGCAGAGGCGGCCTGCTTAGTAGCACGGAGAGCGAGATGTACTCTGCTACCTCATCGGGAGAAGGGCCCTCGCCTTTATCCAGGTCTTTCAGTAGATCAGCCTGATATGCCTGAAGCACCGCCATCGTGTGCAACGGAGTGACAGCCTGACCTGCTGTTGCGTATGCCCTGCCATTTAAGCGAGATGTATCCTGAAGGGGCTTAGATGGCAAGGAGGGAGCCTTAAGAGAGGATGTCTCACCCATAGAGAGATAACTAGCCAGCATCTCTTCTACAGGGGGCATCTTCTCATAGCCGCTTTCGCACATCCCCTCAATGTTGGCATAACTCGTATGCTGGAACCGATGGATGCGTGAGGGAAAAGGCCTCTTCCATTCCTTCTTGATCTCTGTATGGAGATCAGGAAGAAAGAGAAGGCTCACCTGAGCTGGAGGGCTATTGTCAGAAAGATGACGCTCAACGAGTCGACCTCGCGACTTCACTTCCTTGGCCCGCTTCCACGGCAAGTCAAGCCTCGCCGTGGCACGATCCTTAACCTCCAATAGCTCATCATACGCAGGGCAGGAGGATTGGAAGGGCTCAGCCTCTTCAGACATCTCCTGCTCTTCCTGGGCCGAACCCAGCAGAGCACTGGCCCCTGGATCAGACGATGTTAGGGAAATAACATCATCCTCCAGCGGCTCACTCTTGTCCACAGCCGACGAGTGCGAGAGGGAAAGCCCCTCTTTAAACTCATCGGCCAGATCCGCCTGCAATCCCCACGAGCTCATTCTCCTCCGTGCCTCAGCAGCGGCAGGTCCTGAACCGTGGTGAGCAGACGGCTGCCCCTCTTTCCTCGAAAAGAGACAAACAAGAGCGGAGCTTTTTCATCGAAAAACGCTCGCAGTTAACGCAGATTGCCCCCTCGAGGACATCGCGTGCGTGCTCTTTGCCTAAACAAAAGACGCAAAGATCATGTGTGTCATCAAGTGACAAATAACGACGACAACGGATGCACACATCTTCTAAACGTTTTGCTAGTGCTCGCCATAATGAAGGAAAAAAGATCGCTCTTACCACGGAATGCACGCTTCAAACAAAACAGTCAATGAAGACGAAGATGAGAATGATGTGTTCTCCCGGCACCTATTTATACTATAGTCGCACCGTTAGTGACGTCATGGGCTGTTGCCGGCCAACATGTTGTTGGTGTTTTTTGAATGTATGCTTCAGACACGAGTCATGACGAGGCGTTCCCCATAGCAACCCCTAGAGGACGCAGTTCGAAGTTCCCTTGAAAGGGAACTTTAAAGCGCAGCTTTGAGCCAAGAATTTTTTTACACTTAAGTCAATTCTTAGCAGTGTTCTTGTGAGTAATTCTCAGAGGCTTGATAAATACGGGCCCTGGAAGCTTTAAGCGAGAAATGGGCCAAGATTGCAGTAGAGAGCTGACAGAAGCTTCTAAACACTTACAGGCAGCATTTATTGAAGGTTATAAAGATTTTGCAGCAAATTTGACTTTTGTACGTGAATGTTTAGAGCCAATTTGATATTTTTTTCATTATTCATCACCTTTATGTTCTCAGAATCACTCAAATGGATATTAATAAACTTTTTCTAATAGTTTACTGATACCTTTGTTGAATTGCTTTCATGAAATTTGTTCTTGGTAGCAAAATGTCTTGCAGGTCAATGAATAATTTCAATTGTGGCTGTAGTTGAAAAGCGTCCTAAAGAAAGCAAAGAGTTAATAATATTGACGAGGCTCTGAGATTACAGGTTACACCCCTATCAGTAGTTTAGTAGGTATAGAATCTATCATGTGTTTGGTTTTTATGCTCTTCATGTCTAAATTAGGGCTGTTAAAATTAATGAATTGTGTGATTTTTTTTTTTTTTTTTTTTTTTTTTTTTCCAGTTTGTGTAAAAAATATTTAACACATCATTTTCCCCGGCATCCTTTGGCTGGCGTTACAGTGGACTGTATGAACACACTATCAATGTTCATTAACAAAGATGCCAATAAACCACATTTTTAAATGCACATTAAATACACACAAAAACACATTTTTAAACCATATTTTAAGTTACATATACACAATCGTTATTTTACATTAATTTGGAGATTCAATGTGAAATTATTTTCACATTGTTATTTTATTGATTGACTGCACTAGTCTAAATGATTTGATGTTTGTTGCTTTATGCCATTAAACTGGTGTTAACTTGTATTTTTTTTATTTCACCTCAGACCTGATGGCGCTGAAAGAGGAGAGTCAAGAACTGCATGAAATGAAAGACAAAGATCAAAATGAGAAACATCATGATTTCAAAACTGAAGACGTATCAATTAGATACTCACAGACTGAAAAGACTTCCTCACCAAAAAAAGCTGAAAAAACACAAAACCTTAATTCTCAAATGAGAATTCATACTGGAGAGAGCTCTTTCACCTGCCAACAGTGTGGGAAGAGTTTCTCACGGCAAAGGACCCTTGATGTCCACATGATCATTCACACTGGAGAGAAACCTTTCACCTGCCAACAGTGTGGGAAGAGTTTCTCACGGAAAAGGACCCTTGATGTCCACATGATCATTCACACTGGAGAGAAACCTTTCACCTGCCAACAGTGTGGGAAGAGTTTCTCACGGAAAAGGACCCTTGATGTCCACATGATCATTCACACTGGAGAGAAACCTTTCACCTGCAAACTGTGTGGGAAGAGTTTCACGTATAAAGTAAACCTTAAGACTCACTTAAGAAGTCACACTGGAGAGAATTCATTTGTATGTGATCAGTGTGGAAAGAGTTTCAAACATAGTGCAAATCTTAATAACCACATGAGAATTCATTCTGGAGAGAGACCTTACATCTGCAAACAGTGTGGGAAGAGTTTCACACAAAATGGAGGTCTTAACAATCACATGATGATTCACTCTGAAAAGAAGCCGTTAATATGCCCTCAGTGTGGAAAGAGTTTTACACGGAAACAAAACCTTGATGTCCACATGATCATTCACACTGGAGAGAAGCCTTTCACCTGCAAAATGTGTGGGAAGACTTTCACGTATAAAGGAAACCTTAAGACTCACATAAGAAGTCACACTGGAGAGAATCCATTCACATGCCGTCAGTGTGGGAAGAGATTCAGACATAGCGTAAACCTTAATAATCACATGAAGATTCACTCAAGAGAGAAGAGTTTTAAATGTCATCAGTGTGAAAGGAGTTTCACAGACATGAATCACCTTCAGGATCATGTTAAAATTCACATCGGAGAAAAGCCTCTCATGTGCCATCACTGTGGAAAGAGTTGCTCACGAGAAGATGGCCTCAAGATTCACATGAGAATTCACACTGGAGAGAAACCTTTCACCTGTGAACAGTGTGGAATGAGTTTCAGGGTTAAAGAATACCTTCAGATTCACATGAGGATTCACACTGGAGAGAAACCTTTCACCTGTGAACAGTGTGGAATGAGTTTCAGGGTTAAAGAATACCTTCAGATTCACATGAGGATTCACACTGGAGAGAAACCTTTCACCTGTGAACAGTGTGGAATGAGTTTCAGGGTTAAAGAATACCTTCAGATTCACAAGAGGATTCACACTGGAGAGAAACCTTATAAGTGTCCTCAGTGTGAGAAGAGATTCACATTTCAAAGCAGCATGAAACGTCATTTGAAAACTCATTCTGGGAAGAAATAGCCGTTTTCTTCAGTGTGGCGAGGTTTAGAAAAAGTAGTAATTTTTACAATCATCTGCGCAATCATTTTGGTAGACATTCAATTGTAGTCAGTGTAAGAAAAACTTTTTTTGCCATCACACTTACAGATACATGTGTAAAGTCATGCAAATGTGAGACAGTTTGCGTTCTTTCAGGGCTCTCAAGTTTTATCAAAAGTTTGGAGATTACATCTGTTAGGAGAGGAGCCTAACTTTATGTAAGAATGTATAGGTGACCAAATGACTGTTCTGTTGTTCCTTAAGCCTTCTTTTGTTCCGCAGACGTTTTCCTCTTTTGTTTTTTATTCGCCATCTCTATCTTTCTGTTGCTCGGCTCGGACTGAACGCTCTCTCCGCCACATCATGAGTAGACACGCCCCTTACTGCTGATTGGCTACAAGTTTGTTTTGCTAGTCAGCAAATCGCTTACCCCACCTTTAAGAAAACAGTCCCGCGCAGAACTCTACTGAGCAGTCAAGTTGCAGCTGGACGAAGGGACCGTATAGTGTGAGCACAAAAATCCTGAGCTTTGGCTTGACATCGCAAGCGATTTACTGAATCATGAATCTCATGAAAGTGTGTATCAATAGCACAAGTTTGTTAATTATATGGTATGTTATTTATACACAGAAATTGACTTTGGCTGATAATGGGTAGGATTAGGTGTGTGGGATAGATGCGTATCATATGTACGCAAAAACTGTTAATCATATGCATGCCAACAAATTGCGTATCATATGCACACCAAAGTCAATTTCTGTATATCAATGGCATGATTTTCTGTTTGAATTTGGCGTACTATTTATACGCATTTTCATGAGACCGGGCTCAATTTACTCGTACAGTGAGAGTTCTTATTTAACAAAAACATTGCTCAAATCACACCGTGTATGCCCGGCCTAACTCCAGACAGCTATGAACTCAACAGAGAACTTCCCTCCGTATGCCTGCGCCTCGTCTGTTATTTGTATATAGCAGGACAAGTTATTCCTAACTTCAGTGTGAGAAATAAAAGGTATGGTATGTGTGTGAACTGCTTGAAATGTGTGTCTCGTGGTGAATGCGTGAGAACGACTGAGATCTAAGATTTACACAGGAGCAAGACTGTAACACCCTTTGAATGTGACGAGCAGTATCTTACACTGAATATGATGATGATGACAGGCAGCCAGTGTTGTAGGGGAATACTAGAGAATCTTAGTGCAGAGTGATAGAGTTCAAAAGGGGCGAGACGTCGCCTGAATCAACGGTGTCACTTGAGATGCGCTAAAAACAATCAATCAATCAAAATGTATTTATGAAGCACAATAAAAACAACAGTAGTTGACCACAGTTCTGTACAAACCTTGCTAAAAAGACATAAATATCAACAAGTTTTGATCGCAATGCACTAAAGAGGAGAAAATCAAAAACAAACACTGACAGGTGACAGATCCTTATACTCTAAGGACAGCTATAAGCCTTGGAAAAAAAGATAAGTTTTTAAAGGTGCTGTATGTAGGTTTTTGACTCTACTAAAGCATAAAAATATCATAGCATGTTTCTTAAATATCTGCAAACATATTAAGTTAACATGCTACAATCAGTTATTCTCCTTAGACAAACATTCCGTCCCGGAACGCACATTTTCATTGTTTTGATCTGTGTAACCGCCCACTGCCAGTTTGCCCAACTGTATTTCGGCACCCCAGGTTGCCAGTTGGCGGAAAACACAGCGTATTTCATTTCATTCATCGTCATGTGCGCTCGTTCCTGTTGGTGTCATCAATCTGGCAACCTGCGTGTGCATCAAGTCTGAGGAGGGGGGGCCGGGTGAAAAAAACCTCCAATATTTTGAATGTGGACTGCAATACCTAGTTCAACCACTAGTTGTCAATCCTACATACAGCACCTTCTGAAGAGACTAATCGGAGGGAGACTGGAAGACTATTCCATAGTTTAGGCCCAGCAATTGAAAAGGCACTGTCACCCCTCTTCCCATATAAAGGGAATTACAATAATTAAGCCGTGATGACACAAATGCATGGATCACTCTCGAACTCTTGAAACGATAAAAAACTCTTGGCTTTTGATAGCAATCTTAATAGGAAGAAACTGGATTTGACTACAGAATTATCGGTTTATCAAACTTGAGTGCAGAATCAAAAGTAACACCCACATTTTTCACAGACCGTTTTCTGTAGGAGTCCAGATCTCCCAAATCACAATCGGGGGTTCCCGAAGACCCAAACACAATGACCTCTGTTTTGCCCTCATTAAGATGTAAAAAGTTTGAAGAAAACCAAGACTTAATATCAGACAAACACATATTCAGTGATCCTAAGCCTCTTTTATCATTTTTCTTCAAGGGCAGGTAGATTTGGGTGTCATCAGCATAAAAATTAAATGACACCCCATGCTTGGTAAGGATGGACCCCAGAGGAAGCATATATAATGAGAAAAGAACAGGGGCCAAAATGGAGCCCTGAGGAACTCCAAAATGCAAGATGGAGCTAGATGAAGAAAAACCATTAAGACAAACAGAAAACATTCTGTCTTCAAGATAGGATTTAAACCAGTCGAGAGCACAACCTGTAATGCCCACACTTTGTTCAAGGCGTGAAATAAGGATTCTATGATCGATAGTATCAAACGCAGCACTTAAATCTAATAGTAAAAGTATCACAGAGTCCACCGAATCTACAGATAATAAAATAATATCATTCAACACTTTTAAAAGTGCGGTCTCAGTGCTATGATAAAGCATTTTTAAATCCTAAACCCAGATTTAAATTTTTCAAAAATACTATTTGACTCTTAAAAAAAAAAACTGCAGTTGTACTAAACCAGCCTTTTCTAAGGCTTATGAAAGAAAAGATAAATTTGAAATGGGTCTATAATTTGATAGGATGGTAGGGTCAAGATTAGATTTTTTTTAAAACAAGGGTTTAACAATTGCATGCTTTAGGTATTTTGGGACAGTCGCTGTAAGAAGAGACTTGTTTGTTATAGCTAAAATACTTGGCCCAACAACATCGAAGACCTGAAGCAAGAACCGTGTGGGAATGATGTCTTCATGTAGTAGGTTTTAGCTGCTTAATAATATCTTGAAAGGAGTTTAAAGAGATTGTCTGGAATTCATTAAAGGTAGAAGTACAAAGAGATGGGACAGACCAATCACAATTTGGAGGTATAATATGCCGTCTTTATGCATAGACTGTATAAAAACATGGACGTAGTGTCCGTGACATCACCTGTAGATTTCTGAAGAGCCTTTTTGAAGCCCAAAGTGGGCAGAGCGGGCCATTGCCATCTTTGCAGCGCGTCACTCCTGGATAATTCGAAAATGGGCAAAGAGTGGGCAAAGAGGCGGGAGCAGGTTGCTGAAACCACGCCCACCTAGCTCGACGGCAGTGTCAGCAGCGGCAATCCACCTGTCACTCAAATGGCCACACCCTTAATTATGCAGAACTTTAAGGCTTAATATAATTTAAAAGGATGAGTTATAAAAAAATTCACCCCCCTCACAGTTGTCATGAAGGGCAAAATTAGCTATATAGACCAAAATAATTTTTTGAACCAGGCTGT